AAGATTATCTTCTGTGTCTGTGTTAATTGGTTTCCCTTTTCTTTGTTGAAGAGGGTCTGTGCAATCCTTCTGCCTAGTCCGCCATCTTGCCCCGCCTCCCTTCCATCTTCTTTTGATGTTTCCTGCATCATTTAATATTTTGCCCATACGATCTTTCAATATTGCAACTTGAGGCTTGAATTTTTTCTTCACTTCTTTCAGCTTGATAAATGCTGAGCATATTCTTCCCTTTTGGTTTTCTCTAACTCCTGGTCTATGCACATTTCATCATAATAATTGACTTTGTCTTCTTGAGCTGTTCTTTGAAATCTTCTGTTCAGCTCTTTTATCTTACCATTTCTTCCATTTGATTTAGTTACTCTCCATTCAAGAGCAAGTTTCAGAGTCTCTTCTGACATCCATTTTGGTCTTTTCTTCCTTTCTTGTGTTTTTAATGACCTTTTGCTTTCTTCATGGGTGATGTTCTTGATGGCATCCCACAATTCCTCTGGTTTTTAGTCATTGGTGTTCAATGCATCAAATCTCTTCTTTAGATGGTCTCTAAATTCAGGTGGGATATAATCAAGGTCAAGCAGCTCTGATGACATAGTGCCTAAGGTATTTAACTCCTAACCAAAAGGTTGGTGGTTCAAACCCACCAGCCACTCTGCAGAAGGAGGACTGGGCAATCTGCTTCCGTAAAGATGTACTGCCTCAGACACCTAAAGGAGGTCGCTATGAGTTGGAATCAACTCAGTAACATTGAGTTTGGTTTTTTGGGTTGTTTTTTTTTGTTTTGTTTTGTTTTGTTTTTTGTAATCAAGATCATATTTTGGTTCTTGTTTTAATTGTCTTCAGCGTCAACTTGTACTTGCATGTGAGCAGTTGATGGTCTGTTCCACATTCAGCTCCTGGCCTTTTTTTGGCTGAAGATATTGTACTTCTCCATCACCTCTTTCCATAGATATAGTCGATCTGATTCCTGTGTATTCCATCAAGTGAAGTCCACATGTATAGCCACCATTTATGTTGTTGAAAAAAGGTGTTTGCAGTCAATAAGATGTTGGTCTTGCAAAATTCTGTCCTCAATCTCCAGCATCATTTCTGTCACCAAGGCCATATTTTCCAACTACTGGTGATTCTCCTTTGTTTCCAACTTTTGCATTCAATTACCAGTAATAATCTACATATCTTGATTGCATGTTTGGTCAATTTCAAACTGCAGAAGTTTGTAAAAATCTTCAAGTTCCTTGTCTTTGGCTTTGGTGCTTGGTGCATAAATTTGAATAATAGTAGTATTAACTCGTCTTCCTTGTAGGCGTTTGGATAGTAATATTATCCTATTACTGACAGTACTGTACTTTAGAATAGATACCTAAAGTAGATAAATAGATAGATAAAATAGATAAATGCCACATCATTCCTTTTTAATTTGAGCTCTGGTGGTGAAGTACCTAAGACATTTGACTGCTAACCAGAAACCTGGTGGTTCAAACCCACCAACCACTCCTCTGAAGGAAGGTTGGGTGATCTACTTCCATAGAGATACTGCCTTGGAAACCCAAGGAGGGTTCACTGTGAGTCAAATGAACTCGACGGCAGTGAGTTTGGTTTTTTGGTTTTTAGCATAGTAAATCATATGATTCTCTGATTCAGAATGGCCAAAACCAGTGCATTTCAGCTCACTAATGCCTAGGATATCAATCTTTGTAAGTTCCATTTCATTTTTTATAACTTTCAATTTTCCTAGATTCATATTTCATACATTCCATGTTCTGATTATTAATCGATGTTTGCAGCTATTCATTCCCATTTTGAGTCATGCCACATCAGCAAATGGAGGTCCCAAAAGCTTTACTCCATCCATGTAATTAAGCTTGACTCTACTTTGAGGAGGCAGCTCTTCCCCAATTGTATTTTTGTGTGTCTTCCAATCTAAGGGGTTTATCTTCTGCACTATATTGGACAAAGTTTCAGGGTTGTTCATAAAGTTTTCTAGTACTATATCAGACAGTGTTTCTCTGATATTCATATTACCAGTTCTTTGAGAAGTTGATGACCCCTTCCTTCTTCCAAGTCTGTCTTAGTCTGGAAGCTCTACTGAAACCTATCCACCATAGGTGACCCTGCTGATATATGAAATAGCCTCCAGCCTCACAGCAACGTGCAAGCCACCACAGTATGACATACTGACAGATGAATGGTGGAAAAAAGATCCTAGGAAATTAAAAATAAAGTCATCAAAGTTAAAAAAAAAAAAACACTAGAGGATATGTGATGAATGGATCACACTCTGTGCTCTGAAGAAGCTTACAGTTTCATTGGCCTGCCTCAGGCAGTGCTTTATAGTGGCTGAGAGCATGAGCCTGGGAATCAAACTGACCTCTTTTGGAATCCCTGCTCTGCTTATTTACTGAGTCACCTTAGACAGCTTACTTAACCTATCTGTGTACCAATGGTAGTCATCTGTAAAACGGCAAGTATAAGAGCCCTACTAGATTGTTGTGTCAAATTGTTAAGCACTGTACCTGGCATTGCTGTTCCTGGGTGGTGCAAATAGTTTGCACTCAGCTACTAATCAAAAGGTTGGAGGTTCAAATCCACCCAGAGGTACTTTGCAAGAAAGGCTCTGGTGATCTCCATCTGAAAGATCATGGTCATTGAAAAGCCTATGGAGTACCACTCTACTTTGATACACACGAGTTGAAATCAACTTGACAACACCAGGTTTGTTTTGGTTTTTGATACTTGGCATGTGACAGAAAAAAAAGACCAAACCCATTGCTATTGAGTCAATTCTGACTCATAACAACCCTATATGACAGAGTAGAATTGCCCCAAAAGTTTCCAAGACTGTGATCTTTCTGGAAGCAAACTGCCACATCTTCTGTGGAGAAGCTGGTGCACTCAAACCACTGACCTTTTGGTTAGCAGGTAAGCATTTTAACCACTCACCGGGATGTTAATTAACATTCACCATCATCAGTTGCTGACAAGTCTGTTCCCACTCACGGCAACCCCACATGTGTCAAAGTAGAGCTGTTCTTCATAAGGTTTTCAATGGCTTGTTTTCAGAAACAGATCACCAAGACTTTCTTCAGAGGTGCCTTTGGGTGGTGTTGAACTTCCAACCTTTTGGTCAGCATCCAAGCACGTTAACCATTGGTACCATATAAACATTAAAACAAACCAACCAAACTCACTGCCATCAAGTTAGATCTGACTCATAGCAACCCCTCCTTGGGTTTCCAAGGTGGTATCTCTGTGGAAGTAGATTGCCCAGTCTTCCTTCTGAGGAGTGATTGGTGGGTTTAAACCGCAAACCTTCTGGTTAGCAGTCAAATGCTTTAGGCACTATGCCACCAGAGGTCCTATATAAACATTAGCTGCTGTTATTATTAAACCTCAGATACTTTCAACTAGCAAAGCCATAAGTTATAATAATACATTTCAGAAAAAAGTTCCACTTGACAGAAAAGTTAGAGAATTCGATATGTCTTTGACATGTGTTTGCTTTATTATCTTAACTGATCTATAAATTTTAGTAAAGTTAACTCTCTTTTATCTCTTTTTGTTGGAACTTCCATTTAATTAACACCTCAGTCAATTTTATTTTAAGGTAATTTATGTAAGTTTAAATTTGACTTTTTGATAGAGCATTAGTTAGAACATATTTAAAAGTTTACATTAAAAAGGTAAGATTTATTTAGCTGAGGGTAAATGCTCTGTTCTTACTGAAATATGTTCCATTTTAGATTTTGTCCAGGTTGCCAGAAATTTGTTTTGTTTGCAGTTGGATGATGTAAATACTGGTGCACAAGACATTTCCAACATATTGGATTCACAGGTGAGAATATGCCCTATAGAACTGCTTTGATTGCGTTTAAATCACATGTCTTGAATGTTATGTGTCATATATGTAAGCTTTTATTTTTTCACTGTTTAGTTTTATCTTGGAAATTATACAAATGATTTATGCTGCTTCTCTGTGTTGACGAGCAGAATACAACCAGAAAATGTTATAAATTAATGTAATGACTATTTTGTCATATCGACTGATTAATTCACTTCTTTTATTGCTGAGTTTGTTGCCAATTGAAATTACCCAAAGACGTTGCTGTTTGATAATTCTCAAGAGAGTACCCAATTCTCTCAAAAGGGATGCAGTATGAAAGCTGATTGGGTAGCATTTTACATAAGAAGGAATAGAGCTGTAGGAGGGAAGCTGCATATCTGCTTTTATGCTGATTCAAGAGTTGTGTGTGTATCTACCTCATGTTGACAGTATAGCATTGTTTTCTGACTACCAAACAATTCTCAAAGTTGCCAAACCTATATTTGATGAGGTGGCTTGGGTTGTTGGGTGGCTTGCAACATGCCAAAGAAGTGGGGAATTCAGAGTCTTTGCACAAGCATGCAGAGCTTCTAGATAGCTGCAAAGATCATCATGCTCTGAGTGAGTAATTGACTTCCTTCTTACCCAGATGATGTTAGGGCAGATAAGAATATGTTCAATTTGAGATGCTTTGATAACGAAAGCAAAGTGCTGATGGCAATTATACAATTATCTTTTACACGACAATAATTTCCTGTTTGTGGCTTTAGATCAAAATGTTGTACAATAGTCATTACATTTAATGTGTAAGACTTTCTTTGTTGTATTCTGCTTGTCAACACACAAAGAGTGTCCTCATAAACTACTGGTTGGTTGGTTTCTTTGGTTGGTTAGACCAGAATTCACAATAAAAATGTAATTTACCTCACTGTATTCACATATATAACTGAAAGTCTCTCAGAGCATTACTTACTTTTTCTACAAACAGTGCATTTGTATTTAGTATCCAATTCTAAATATGAATGCACAACTTAAGTTTTTAAAAATTAGTTTCACAATCTATTTCCCACAGTTTGAAAAACACTATAAAATTACTATGTATACTGAACATATACAAAATTCTTTTGGGGGTGGTTAGGAGAAGTGGCCACCAGAAATAGATCAAAAATGCCTTATCATTTTATAGTGTAATTCCCGATTTTTTTTTTTTTTTTTTGGTTGGAAAGCAGTGTAGTGCGTCATCTGAAACCCTATCAGTTGATCTGTAGTCAAGGATGCTAATAGTCTGTCAGTGGGGAAATTCCACTGTGGTTACCCCTCAACCATCTCAGTATCACAGACAGAATAAGGTTTTGTAATCACTTTGTTAGGGCTGCTTGTCTCTTCACTCATATGTCTCCTTTTTGGTGGATAAAAGGTGACTACATTGGCTTTTACTTAATTGATTTTTGCAAATATTTTTACTGAAGTATAATGTGCACATAGTAAAGCACAGAAGTCTTATGTGTGCAACCTAATATGTTTCTATTATATATCACATGTGTAATCACCACTCACAAAGCTCCCTCATGACAGCTGCCCAGTCACCACTTCCACCTGTACAGTGGAACGACTGTTCCAACTTGACATAAATAAATATTCCTTTTGCCTGTTTTAAAACTTCATAATAAATGGAATCAGTCTGACTCAAAAGGTTTCTTGTAATACAAGAAGGAGGAATTGCTGAGTTAGTGTCAGTCAGTCCTACTTTAGTATAGTTGACAAAGAACTCTTAGATTTGGAAGGACATGGCATTTAGAACTGTAATTCTAATCATCATTGCTATATTAAAAAATTCACACAATGCTACCCCTACTGCTGGCACAAAGTTACACACAGAAAAGGGAAATTTGGAAGCCACAGTTAGCAGTCCTCTGAACTGAGCAACACCAACCATATGCCATTGTAATACCATGGTTTTACCAGACTGATGAATGGATTATAATAAAATCATAATCAGAGATAACATTATAAATTCCCTAAATTAAAGCTTTCACACTTTGGGTCATTGTTAAATCGATTTAATGGATGGCACCATTTTAAAAACAAATAGAATAGAATGGAAATGATTAAAGTAATTAAAGTGAATTATACTTGCTAAGGTTAGCTAATACTAGACCAGTCCCTGGAGAAGGCAGAGGGTTAACAAAAATGGGGAAGACCCTCAATGAGATGGATTGACACAGTGGCTACAACAATGAGCTAAAGCATAGGAAAGATTCTGAGGATGGTATAGGACCAGGCATCGTTTCGTTTTGTTATACACAGGGTCTCTGTGAGTCGGAGCTGACCTATCGGTACCTAACAACAACAAGGCTAGCTAATGTTTCACTTTTACTGGGTTATAGTATAAATGGCTGGAAGCTCTGGTAGCGTAGTGCCTAAGGCATTTGCCTGCTAACCAGAAGGCTGGCGGTTCAAACCCATGAGCCACTCTTCGGAAGGACAATTGCACAGTCTGCCTCCATAGTGATACCACCTCAGAAACCCAAGGAGGGGTCATTATGAGTCGGATCTGACTCAATGGCATTTAATATAAATGGCATTTCTCACTATATATTAAAAAAAAAAAAAAAAAAACTTATTACCATTGAGTCAATTCAACTCATAGTAACCCTTCCTTGGGTTTCTGAGGTGGTATCTCTATAGAAGTAGATTGCCCAGTCTTCATTCCGAGAAGTGGCTACTGGATTTGAACCACCAGCCTTCTGGTTAGCAGTCAAATGCCTTAGGCACTACGCCACCAGAATTCCCTTTCACTAAATATAGCAATAAAAAAATAAACCTTTGATAGCCATTTTCCTGAAGACTCATCTTTAAAATGTCAAATATATATGGAACAACTACAGTGTGCATGGTCTTATGTTAGGTGCTATGCCACATGTTGTTAAGACAAGTAAGACTCAGACCATCCTTTAAGAAATTTAAGGTGTAATGGAAGGAAAAGTCATGTACACAAATAATCATAGTTTTTAAAAAAATTGCATTATATTATAAAAGCCAAAATAATAACAGCACAGAGACTCATAATGGAGTTGGCATTTGGGTGAACTTTGGAGAATAAGTAAAATTATATCTATCCAAGCAATGAACAAGGAGTGATAAGAATGCTGGCAGTCCCATTCTCCACTTACTACTTTAAATTATACTTCTCTAAACTTTCTGTAGCTCTATTATATCTTCCCCATAGGAAGATGGCTATCACTGGACTTTGATTTTTTATCTTTAATTGGAGTGTCAGTATTTTTACCTTGTAATTTTCTGTCAAAGAGATCGTGCTAAAAGTAAGAGAAACTGCCATTTCTGCTATTTTTTTCTTGTTGCTATTCACTTTTGCATGAATTATTAATATTATCTTCTTTCTGTGCTGAACTCTTTTTAAGCCACTTGGCTATTACATTACATTTTGTTTAGTTAAAACAAGACACAGAATCAATAAATCTTCTTAACTGAACAGATGTAAACCCTTTGGGTTGATAATGTCCAGCGCTTTGTTTGCCGTAGATACCATGCACCGAGAGTGGGTATCTTAGGGAATACTTTATGTTGATGATGCCTATTGTCTTCTTGATGTTATAAACAGTCTTGGAAGTTAGTTTAAGGGAAATTACATTGTAAAAATATAAAATATAACAAAATAGTGTTGTTAAAATAATCAAAAAAGTGACAAAAGAGTATAAGTAACAACACTGTAAAAAACAAAAAACCAAACTCACTGCCGTTGAGTTGAATCTGATTCAAAGCGATCCCTCCTTGGGTTTCTGAGGCAGTATCTCTACAGAATAGATTGCCCAATCTTCCTTTCGAGGAGTGGCTGGTGGATTTGAACCACCAGCCTTCTGGTTAGCAGTCAAGTGCCTTAGGCACTATGCCACCAGAGCTCCTACAACAATGTAAAGTTACATTTAAATGAAGGTAGATGACCCAGATTACTTTAATACTCTCTTATCTAATCACATAATTCCAGAATAAGAAACTGTATTTTATTAATTAAAATGGAAAAGTCTAAGACTCAGAAAAGATTTTTATGATAATTCACATAATTAACATCTAATACATAACTTTTCTGTTTTAATATTAACAGCGTCTTCCCTGTGATTCTTTAGAAGCAAATGAAATGGAAAGACTTAAGCATGAAAGAAATGATGCCTTGGAAGAAGTGAATACACTTAAGGTAATCTCCAATTTAGCTTTATATTTTCTTGGGGGAAAAAAAGAAAATTATCCTGTATTTAATTCTGAAGGATAAGTAGAGTTATCTGAGAATAATTGGGACTTAGTTTTATTTTTAATTAAAGAATATTAAGATCAAATAGCTAAAATCCAATTATTTTTTCAGTTGGCCTTTAGAGAGTTAATTTTTTAGTTCATGCACTTGTTATTTATATTTCTCAATATCCATGTAAGATTTAGCCTGAACAATGGTTTTTGCTCATTCTCTCTGATCTGGCTACTTCTCACTCCCCTGTTTTTTCCCATATTGATGGCAAGGGCAGGATTGAATGAGAAGCCAACAAGCAAGAGGTGGCAACTTTGGATCCCCTGAAGTTCACTGGGAAATATGTTTTCTCCCATGTTCAGAGAAATGCTTAAGAGATAATATGTTTTATGCACATAATCTGTAACGAAAGCAACATGATTTAAGAGAGGAAAAGTACACATATCCCAAACATGATATAACATTTTGGTTCTCTTTATATATTTTCATTGTGCCTTTAGTGGAGTATTACATTTGAATAATATCCTAATTTTTATAAAAAGCCATATATTGTTTTCCAAATCATCAAAAAGCAGCACTATGATGTCTTAATTTACCATTAATTCACCATGGAAATATATTATTTTACTAAATAACTAAAACTCTATTGTTAAATGATTGAATTTTATCTGTGCAAACCACCCTCCCCCCCACCCCCCAAAAAAGAAAATGTCACTGCTATCTTAGTTGTCTAAAGGAAACTATTGTTGAAAATATCTTGTTTACCCTATCAGAGAATCTCTCGACTTAGCCAATCATTTTAAATATACGTATATCATAGTGACCCCTCCTTGGGTTTCGGAGGCTGTATCTCTAAGGAAGTAGATTGCCCAGTGTTTTGGTTACCTAGTACCGCTCTGACAAGAATATACCACAAATAGGTTGTCTTGAAGAAACGAGTTTATTCTGTTACAGTTTGGAGGCTTTAAGTCTGAGTTCAAAGTGCCAGGCTCTAGGGCCTGGGTCAAAGCCCCTCAACCTCGGGCTTCAGCTCTGCCTCCTGCTCTCAGCCCACTGGAGTTAGAGGCTTTTCTTCACTCAGACAGCTTCTGGCTGCTGAGGCTGACAAGCCCAAGGTTGACGTAAAAAGGCACAGTCCTGATGTTACAAAACCACAGGGCAGGCCATTAATTCAAGTCCATTGAAAGTCCCAAGGTCGGCAGAGCATGGCAGGCTGCTGAACAATGACATGGCTACCTGTAGGGTTCAAGCGTGCCATAAGCTAGACTATGCCCAAGGCTTCTCCTTAAATACAGGAAGCAGACCACACCCCAAGGGCAGCACAGACCACACCCCAAGGGCAGCTACTCAGCTCAGTTTCCACCATGGAGCTGATTGCCAGTCTCATCATGGGCAGTGACTCCCACCAGCTGCCCAGCCAGCCACTCAACCAAGAAATTGACATACATATTTAACTACCACACCCAGTCTTCCTTCCAGGGAGTGGCTGGTGGGTTTGAAC